ATTGGCTGTCAGTGATGTCATACATGTGTCAATATTTCTCATTAAAAGCCCAGGTATGACCTTTTTACCTTGGAGTTTCCATGCCATAATAGCTCTAAGGCACTCACGGTTAATAGATTTCTGAGGGATTATTGCACTCTTTGAGTAGCTGAAGTCACTTGGCTTTTGGCTGGTGCCTCATACTGCACCTGAGGTGTGTGATAATCCCTCAGAAATGCACTGCTTGTTGAATCTCGTGGCTTAATTATAAACATTAACTGAAGTCAGCTACACATTAACTAGCTTGCCCAGATGTTTCTGTACCTGATGGATGGATGTGATGACTGATGAAAAGAAATCATGCAAGGTCCGCTTCTGGTGAATTCATTTGCCATGGAAAAAGAGGAGAGCAAAGCAGTTGCACTGCCCAATAACAAGAGAATGGAGACCTCTTGACTGCATGAGGATGCACAACAAATTGAATTCTAATTGCTCCATCTGGGGGAGGATGCTCAGTTTAAAACCCTGAGGGACACCACCACTCTCATCTTTAATCAGCCATAGCCATGTAGCTCCCTTCTGTGCAGTCTTAGACCCAGGATGCTTTGGGGCAACTCCATCTCCAATGAATTTCTGTGATCCAGGAGACACAGTTTTGCCCCTCATCAAGGAAAACACACCTTTTCTTTACAGAACGTAAAGACCTTTTTTCTGGCTTTTTTCTTCCCTTAATGTTGTCTTTTACTAACACTTTACTGCTTTAAGGTCTATGATATATTTTTGATATGTTGGCATTTGCTGACTCACATTTTCTTATTGGTTTCTTTAATGCACACAGGAATGAGAAACAATCTGAAGAACCCTCCTTTTACGTGGTTTTACAATATTTTCCTTTACAATATTTACCTAGAATATAAGATTCTGGCTAATTTTAAGTTCTGTAAAAGACTGAACTCTTAGAAAAGCTACTTACAAGTGGGAATGTCTTGGACAGGAAAAATGTTTATAAAAGCCCTTCAGATCCAGGACAAATACTCAGATGAAATTATTTGCAAGCCCACTCCAAACCCCACACAAACTAATTGATCGCTGTCCTAATGTAATGATATCCACAGCAGTGTGATAAGATTCATGCCCACAAAGCACATGCAAGCATTAACCTAACATCTGCGTCTCTCACTCATAACTTGCAGAAATTAGGACTAAATGTTGTGTGGATTGTCAGGGATCCCTTAAGGAAAACCTCAATGGTCCTCCTAGGGCAGTTTTCCAGATGTTTTGCCTGGGAAGAACAACATAACTGTAAGAGGAACTGAAGTGTAGTAATTTGGTTTCAATCAGTATCTGTTTTCATGCCTAATTGAACATTGATTAGAAGAGTTGCTATCAGTACTTCCATAATATTAAGAAAGTCATGGTCAAATGGGCTGCATTTAAACATTTGTAAAGAGTAAGTCTTTCTGCTTTCAAGTATAAGTCAGGGTTTTTTTCTGAACTTGAAAGCAAATGTTCCCCTGTAAGCATCTCAGTGTATAATTGCCCACAGGATTTTCACAAACCTTCATAAAAGTTTTGGAAGAAGATTTTGAATTCAATGACCCATTAGCTGAATTTCCTTAGATTTTATTTCTGTGGGTAAGCCTTAAAGGTGACTGATAGGTGACCATATCATAGAATCATAGAATAGTTAGGGTTGGAAAGGACCTTAAGATCACCAAGTTCCAACCCCCCTGCCATGGGCAGGGACACCTCGCTCTAAACCATATCACCCAAGGCCTTGTCCAACCTGGCCTTGAACACTGCCAGGGATGAAGCATTCACAACCTCCCTGGGCAACCCATTCCAGTGCCTCACCTCCCTAACAGGAAAGAATTTCCTCCTTATAGCCAATCTAAACTTCCCCTGTTTAAGTTTTAACCCATTACCCCTTGTCCTATCACTACAGTCCCTAATGAAGAATCCCTCACCAGCATCCCTATATGCCCCCTTCAGATACTGGAAGGCTGCTATGAGGTCTTCATGCAGCCTTCTCTTCTCCAGGCTGAACAGCCCCAACTTTCTCAGCCTGTCTTCATATGGGAGGTGCTGCAGTCCCCTGATGATTCTCATGGCCCTCCTCTGGACTTGTTCCAACAGTTCCATGTCCTTTTTATGTTGAGGACACCAGAACTGTACACAATACTCCAAGTGAGGTCTCACGAGAGCAGAGTAGAGGGGCGGGATCACCTCCTTCGACCTGCTGGTCACGCTCCTTTTGATGCAGCCCAGGATACGGTTGGCTTTCTGGGCTGCAAGGGCACACTGAAGCCGGCTCATGCTCATTTTCTCATCAACCAGCACCCCCAAGTCCTTCTTCACAGGGCTGCTCTGAATCTCTTCTCTGCCCATCCTGTAGCTGTGCCTGGGATTGCTCCGACCCAGGTGTAGGACCTTGCACTTGGCATGGTTAAACTTCATGAGGCTGGCATCAGCCCACCTCACAAGCGTGTCAGGGTCCCTCTGGATGGCATTCCTTCCCTCCAGCGTATCAACCGAACCACACAGCTTGGTGTCATTGGCAAACTTGCTGAGGGTGCACTCAATCCCACTGTCCATGTCACTGACAAAGATGTTAAACAAGACCAGTCCCAACACCGATCCCTAAATCGATGTAGCTTGCTGTATTTTCTGTCATTCTAGCAAAAGCAGCAGGCAAGGACAATACAAAGCTGTGTGCTTTAGTGGAGGTGTCCTGCCAATACACTATGCTATGTGAAAGGATAAGTACTGTGGGGTATAACAGATACTGTGTGATATTGAGATACCACAGTGTGTATGGAAGAAGCTGCAGAGCTAGTTTCATTTCACACATGGAGAAAGGATTGCATATAAAGATAGCAGTGCTATTTTCCTTCATCTTTGGCATTAGCTGCAGTGGAAGGAAGCAATAAACAGTAATATTAAGAAATTGAAGAACAGGAATCCTCACATTTCTGCCTCATTCTGCAAGCAAACATTGGATTTCTAATATCAGCAAAGGGAGAGACATTATGTGAACTATGTCATTACCATAACCACAAGACAGCACTCTTTTATTGCACATTCTAAGTTCCTTTTAGACTATGTGTGGGTATTGAGACCATGCAAATGCAAATGAGAGTCTACTGTTCTTGGTGTTTGTCTTTGAATCTGAGCAATGACACATGCTTGGAGAAATTGTTGTCAGCAAGTTGAGTTCCCTGAGGCTGTTCATCCCCCATCAAAACATATTCAGTGGGATGACCACAATTCCATTTCTTCTAGACTTACAGTTTGGGTTTTTTTTCTATGGTCTTCCACATTTGATGAAAGAGGAACAATTAAAGGAAGAATCAGATCTGTGAGTCAGAATGTCATTCTGATTACCACCTGTGCAGTTCCCAGGTAGGGCAAGAGATTGGGTTCATTCCCAAGCATAAGCTGGGTCTCTGCTTTTTTACTGAAGCCTCGGTTTTCCTTGATTTCAGCAGCACTGCCCAATGTAGATTGCATTAGCAAGCATCCTACCATGTATCCTTTGAGCAGGAAATCCTACAGAACTACTCAAGTACTTTCTAATTCTCCTTGAACATATTAATCATAACTCTAAGGCAAAAGTTGCCCCCTGTTTTGTTGTCCACTCTGTCCCCTCTTTCCTCCTGCTCATGGAGGACACTGCCAACATTCTGTGCAGTCAACAGAATGAGAGATGCTTTAGTTATCACAGGGTTTGGATGAAGACCCCTTAACTGTAGCTAAATCTTCGCAGGGCTTAAGTGCTGCTGATGACAAAAAAGATTTGCTTTAAGATGTTTCCTAAGTATCAGTTTAATCTTCCCTAGGAGCCCTCAGCCTTCTCCAGGTTCTTCCAAATGTATTGGTCTTCTGGTAAACCAAGATAACAACAATAGTCAAAATACCTTCTCTCTCTTGTATGCAGTAAGACGGCACCTCCCTTTTCACTCCTAGACAAGCACACTCTTACTTCATTTTTGTTTTAAATCTCTCAAGAACATAAGCAGTGGTGTGCCAGGCCAGCCCTCAGGTCCAGCCAGCTCACTGTGCTGTCTCCGAGACTGATGGATAATGGGATGTACAAGAAAAAGTCAGAGAATGGGCAAGCATACCATCATTCATAGTGCTCAAGATACTCTCTCAGAAATTTGTGGCTCAGGGACTTCCTGAGCCTTTTCCAACTTTACTGCATCTTTTTCATGATGAGGAGACAAGAACCACACATAGTATTTACAAAGCAAATGAAGCACAGATTTATGCAGTGGCATAATGGTGACTAATGTTTTTTATTATTTTCTTTTCCTCATTATTTTTTGCCTTCTCTTTGATTTTCATTCTGTTCTGTTTTCTTTTTAGCAACATACATTGAGGTGGAGTTTTGTAGAATTGTTTTATGGAATTATTTGTTCCAAGGATTACTTTTTCTATGTGCACTGCTTTATATATCTCCAACCTGAATTTCATCTGCCACTTTATCTGCTGGTCCTTTTTAATAAAGCATTTTTGAAAGTGTAATCTTCCATGAAATTTATAAACACTATTGACCTCATCCTTGTAATGCTTGTATGAATTGAATGTATAACAATAAACATAGAACTAGACTCTGGCTTATCAAAATTCTCCTTAAAGCCACGTTTTACAGGGACAAGGTTGCAGAAAGACTTTCTTGCAGACACCTTTTTAAGAAAGCTGGAAGATTTCGAGAATTTGGTTATCTTACGTTTATAATTGGGAATCAGAGACAGAGCACTAGGCAGAATATAGGCAATTGAATATTATCCTGGGAATTCATTCCATTACTTTGATGTTTGGAAAAGCTCTTTTATGAGTCCATTAGCAAAGTGCGATATTCTTACAAGAAAGGTGTAGAATGAATTACTATAAGGCTTTTCAACATTAGCAAACCCTTCAGCACACAGCCTGTTTATTGTCCTCAGCACCTGCTCATTGTTTTGAAAGAACAAATAAATAAATGAGCAAACAAATAAACCCACCAATACATCCACACATTCCTAGCAATAGGATTTATTTGGATTAAGTCCCCTATTTTATAGCTCAGGTTTTGGCCTTCATTCATTTCCCAACCAGCTGCAGCATTTCATCTTCTGAAGAGCAACACTGACATCTGAGAGCTGAGTGCCATTGTGCTAACGACTCCATAAACAACCCCACCAAATCCTGCATGATAAATTTCCTCCTGATTAGTTAAACAGATATTGTATCATGCCAGCAGAAGGAATTTTTGTTGACACAGCATCTCTGGAGACAGTGGTATGTTTTCTTTTAGGATTTGAATGCTCAGCAACTGGAGTAGTGAGAATGACAGAAGATCAGTCAATATTGCCCAGTCTTGATGATCTTACTTCATGTTTTAATTTCTCTCTTTCTTTTTCATTTTTTAATCTTTAAAGAGACCTTTCATTACACTGCCAAATTCTTGCAAAAATGAAATTGAGCCTTCGAAGGGAAGAATGTGAAAATATTGTTAACTTCACTCACAAAATGCTCTTTTACGTTATGATCCACTAAAGCTATTTCTGTTTCAAACAGAAAAGGGGGTAAAAAAAATGTACTCATTTTATGTTTTGAGGTTATTTTATTTTTAGTCCTTGGGTTTTACAGTAAATGCATCGGTGGGTCACTTTTGTGCATTATTTTTATATCTTTGTAGTACAATTTCCATGAGCATGTTGGTTTTATAGTGGAGTTTCCACTTAAGGCTGTTAGTAAATCTTTCCACAGAAGCCAGGCCTTCATAAATGACTATTGTTAAAGAAATGTTACTGGCTATGATGGGTGTGACAATAAATGCAGGAAAGACCTGGCTTTTGGTTATTACTCTTGTATCAGCTTTCCCGTCCTGACTGGAGGGAAGGGGTAATTGTGTCCTCTATGCTTTCATTTGGGCAGTGGTTACACGCACAGTTTTCAGAGGAGAAACAAATGACGCACAGAGGAGTGTAATCACCATGGCCTGCTCAGACATAAAATATGGACCCTTGGATAGGCTTCCAAAATAATATGGTGTGTTCCACATAAACAGCAATTTACTGTAGCGGGAATGCGAATTCAGTATGCGACGTCTTGGGTTCCTAAATAGTAATGCTTTTTCCATGACATGTAAGGAACATTTCTGGTATTAACTAACCGCTGTAAGGAAAGCCCATGTACGTGAGCATCTGATTGACTGGATTTTACAGTTCTGTGTCATGTACGGCTCTAATTACCATGCTTTGAATATTAGAGAACTCAACACGCTTTTAATCAATCCCAGGGGCTCTGCTATTTCCATTACTTAGTCTCAATTCCTCTTTAAAAAGTGGTACTGAGAATTTGTTTCACATACTTAGTGAATCCCTAAGTGCACTGCTCCTGAAAGCAGACACTCACACTAAATCTGGATAGTTTATATTCATTCTAAATGAAAACAGCAGAACAGTGGGATGACTGTGAGAAATTATGACATAAAGCTGATTCAAGGCCTACTCAGACTGTTTGACTTCAACTGAGTGCTTTTATCTATGTGCGTTATTTATGAAAGAGTAGTCAGAGCCCATACATAACCCTCAACACAGGGGAGTCAAGGCTTTTTGAACACCGTCCAGTCCAGCTCCCTTTCTGATCAATGACCCTCTATTATCATATTGAGCTATTCTGTTCAAAACCATGTGTGCAGATCCTAAATAATAGTAAGCCTTGTACACTAAGGAAAGAAAAGCTTTGATAACTGACACTTAATGAAGTAATTAGAGATTAAAACCTAGGTAGAAGCAGAACTGGCAGCACAGTGGCCATGACTTGAGAGGAGGAAAGGGGGGGATTCAAACAGCTGTAGTATCAGTGTGAAAATCCTGACTTTTTCTGAGCTGTATGCAGTGAAATATGGTGATTTTTCTCTTCCCCTGTGATGATGATCCCCAGTTGTACCCAGGGATTTAGCAAAACTGCAGTATGAGGACAAGGGTTAGTAGGTTAGGGGTGGATTCAGCAAGGGTCAGGTGAAACAACTAACCTTGTGGTATGGTATTCCTTAATATGAAACATGATTAGAATCTTAGAATAATCAACTTTTGTGGATGTTCTGGTTATGCAACATTTTGATGTGGCTTTTTCCTTACTCCTGCAGAAATGGGAAAATTTGATTTAATATTTTCATTTTATGCCAAGTCTTGGAATAGTTATCCCTTAGAAACTGAGGGCAGTTCATTCATTTTTGACTGGGTACTAACACATGTTAAAAGTTCTAAAAGCATCAGCTAGTAATCAGAACCACTTCCAAAATTCAAGATATATTAGGAGAAGAAAATGTACAGGCATGTTCACTGCTTACATACGTGACAAGAGGTTATAAGGAATCATCACTAAACGAGAAAAGAAAGGGACGTTGCATTCAAGCCCACTGCCTGTCTGGAAGAGACAGCAGTTTTTATTACTAGCTTTTTGTATATAGAAGCCTATCCATCAGTACCCAGCCAATGGTCACCAAACCTGTTCAAAGTGATCATTAAAAAGCAATCAGATAACATCAGTTCAGTTTTAGATTTGACCCAAGGCAACTGAAAAAGGCACAAAGATGACTGTATGGGAAGATTTTGTCAGGATACAAGCAGCTGCCTTCCAAATCCATGAATTTCAGTGGGAGATGCGTTGATTTCTAGCATGTCAGACTTGGTGTTCTCTGTTTCAGAGGACCAGATTCAAGAAAAGAAAGGCAGAAAGATTGCTTTGGGTGATACTAGCTGATGCTTGTTTCCCAGAAATGATTTATGCCCATTTGCAGATTGAGGCTGTAGTGAACAAGGGATGAGGCTACAGTGATTTGCAAATTGAGGCTACAGTGAACAAGGCACGGATCAGTCCAAAGTTGGCTTAAAACTGCTGCACTGAATTTAATCTTAAATCTTCATTTTACTTCTGTGAAGTCTGAAACTCAGAATGAAGTGTTTGTGTCTAATCTGGTGAAAACCTTCTCATTAAAATCTTCTTTGTTCATCTCTGTCTTTGATTTAAGGCCTAACCCATAGCTTGTTCAAAGTGTCAGAAAGGATTTTACCAAGTTTTGTGCTTGGTATTTATTGATCTTTAAGTGGGAAACAGAGATAATCAGGAAGCAAGCAGTGACTTCAAAGAGAATACCTCTGTTTATTTGTATTCATCAGCTTATCATTTCCACTTTTGCATTGCAATGCAGCTGATGCTCTTCCTGAAAGTATCAAGAAGTTTGCTTTTGAAAAAGCAAACACTGGAATGTATTCTATAAATATTGTGTTAGTTCTCATATAAAGTTACAGTTTATGGTAAATTTTGCTAGTCATATCTATTAGCCAAAAATTCCAGGTGCTTAAGTGTGTGGAAAAATAAGCTACTGTCTGATGAAGTCTCAATGAAACAGTCAAAAAGTTGATGTTAAAGAAAAACTGACATGCAAAACTTATATAATCTTAAAGACTCAAATTTTTTATATCCACATATATTATATATGTAAGCCACATGAGAATTCTTCAAGGGTTTATTTCAAAGGTCTTAGATATTTTGAATATTAATTCTCACTTTGATGTTGAAATGGAACAACAACCTGGGTTCAGAAATTTATTCTTTTCATATTTGTTTTCAAAATAGGATTTTTTCTTTTGTTTCTTTTTTTTAATATTTTCTCTGTAAATGTTTTTGACGTAGAGAGTGGCACACACAAAAAATCCTTTGAGATAATAACATTGGCAAAACAGATTTAAAGATATGAAAAGTAACATGGATATAACTCACCCCCTAATATGACATAGATAAGACGAAGATAAAAACATGTACCTTAAGGGACTAAGTTGGGAATATAGTGCAAATCACTGCTTTGGTGTTTCTAGAGTAGATAACTGCTGAATGTTGACATCTGATCATGAGAACACCTAAAGCATCTTTCAATCTGGTTATTCCAATTACAGTTCAAATCAGTTAAACATAGTTTAACTAAGAATAGTTTTCACATAGATCACATAAGCATTTCCACTGTGAACAAACAAATAAGCCACTGTATTCTCGCTCCTTCTTCCCTGTTGTATTAATGGAAAGACTGTGGATCACTGTGGTCTAAAGAAACACTTATTTGGACAATAAAGGACAACAATTTTAGATTAATCAGAATTAAAGTGCCCTGTAAATATTGCTTTGCTAACTACAAAGGCTGAATGGAATGATGAATTTAAAACTGCTCCCCAAAGACTCATAGAATCACAGAAAGGTCTTGGTTAGAAGGGGCCTTAAAGCTCATCCAGTTCCAACCCCCTGCCATGGGCAGGGACACCTTCCACTAGACCAGGTTGCTCCAAGCCCCATTCAGCCTGGCCCTGAACACTGTCAGGAAGGTGGCAGACACAGCATCTCTGGGCAACCTGTGCCAGCACCTCAGCACCATCATAGTAAAAAAATTCTTTTTTATATCTAATCTAAGTCTCTCCTCTGTCAGTTCAAAGCCATTCCCCCTTGTCCTGTGACTACAGGCCCTTGTAAAAAGTCCCTCTCCAGATTTCTTATCTGTCCCTATAGGCACTGGAAGCTGCTCTAAGGTCTCTCTGAAGGCTTTTCTTTTCCAGGCAATTCTATTGTCCATCACTGCTGTTTACTAGTTTGGGTGTTTTTCCTTTTCCCCTTTGGTTTTATGTTCTCTCTCATTATTCCCATTATTATTATATTATATTATATTGTACTTTAGTTATTAAACTTCTCTGATCTCAGCCCATGGGGGCTGTAGTCTGTCTATTCGTACTTAAATTTCTAATGATACCAGCACTTTCTGTATCATTCATGGGCTGTGGAATAGGGTTTTAGAACATTATGAATAACATTACCTGTAAAAGGCAGTCCATCAAAACAACTGTAAAATGGCAGGTACATAAGCATTCTGTGCTATCATTCAGCTCTCTTATACTAAAATTAGAAGAAAAAAAAAAAGATTATTGGCAGAATCCTCTCTCCTGTAGCAGGAAAGCCTTTGTTTCTGCCAGTGTCCTTGGCAGTAAACAGAAATCAAATAATAATACAAGGTTCCCCTCCTAAGAAGTACGTTCCTGATGTGGAAGTTCTGAGGGAGGGATAAATCACCATACAAATCCATGTTTATACTATTCCCTTTCCATGAGTTCACATCAGGTAGTCAGTTCTCAGGGTGCGATATCCCTTGTTGCCACTTTAGAATCAGGATCTCCACCCTTGCTGTGTATGAAGGCAACATATTGGCCTTCACATATTGTAATACTAATTGTCTTAAGCTGTTAGACCGTGGCAGAAAACTCCTTTTTCTCTCTTCCACAAAAATATTACTCATGAGGCTGAACATCTTTCCTCTTGTGTGATGGCACAGATGGTTTTGGACATATTTATCAATGCCACGAGCTAAGGGATGCTGGGGGCTTTTGGTTTATTCAGGTAAAAACATTGCAGATATCTTTAACCTAACTTCCCCTGTAGATCTTGCTGAAACACTTTTTTTAATAAAGTGTATATGTAGCATGGACATAAAAGGTGATGATCACATTTGTGCTGTTGAAAACTGTAAGAGCTAACATATGCCTCTATCTATGGTTACTGCAAATAATGCAGGTTTTAAAAGCTAGGGGAACAATATTTATTTGTACCAGCAAATGTTTTTCTCCTGGTTCCTGTATCACTAGAACTTCCCTATCTTTATGTAACTTATAATAAGGTACTTTCATAGGGAATTATAAAATATAAAATCATTCAAGTTACACATGTAAAATAAAGGAAATGTATTTTAATGAGTTCCATCTCTGGGACTCATAAATGTGTTTCTTCATGTAAGGCCTGATCAAAAGACCATTCTAATTAAGAGAAAAGGTCCCAGAGATTTTTGTAGGTTTCAGATTGGTCCCTTGTTAAGACTTAATTCCACACAGTTTAACTCAAATAAGTCACATGTGGAACTGGTTGAGAAAAGATTTTATTTCATGTGAAAGTTTTCAAGGAAAAATAATACATTAAAGAAATATTTTTCCATTTGCAGCGAAAGCACCTACTAACCCCAAACTTAATGTTTTGGCTGTGTCTTTGGCAACAAGATAAATAGTTCTGGCATTTCTGGATATTCTACCTAGCATATAAGGTTAGATAATAAAGCCATTTTAGAAATTCTTAAATTGTGCATGATAAACTTGTTAACATACCTAGATGAAAACGGTCAAATATATCATTTGGTCTTAACATTATGATCTCAATTTGAGTGGTCCTAGATATGTACTTAAATTCTGAATAGGGTTTTTCACACTTTTCCTTCTTGCTTCCATGATTTCGATACTGACTAATTCTGTCTTAATTCCCTCAGCTTTGCAGTTCAGTATGTATTGTCCCTTATGCCCTTCACGTTGCCCACAGTCATGAGAATTACTTTAAAATCTCACTGTCCCTCATGTTCTGTTACAAAGTCAGAATAAATACGTGAATTGCTACCTTCAAAACTTACTGTCTTTCTTCATACGTCAAAGATTTATGACTTTGTTCACAAGACAAAACACCATGCCTACCTAAAACAGTGAATAGTTGTAGGTAGGCAATTTAGAGAAGCCAGGAGGTTTTAGAAATAAATAGTGAAAAATCAGTCAGCAACAGGACATAGTTCAAGAGAATTTAACCTTCCTAAATTAAATTTATAAATTCAGTTTATAGATTCAATGAAATTTATATGTTCAAGGCCAGGTTGGACAGGGTTTGGAGCAACCTGGTCTAGTGGAAGGTGTCCCTGACTATGGCAGGGCATTGGCACTAGATGAGCTTCAAGGTCCCCTCTAAACCAAACCATTCTATGATTCCTCATGCTCTGATTCAATGATAAAGTATTTATGTAAAAGATGTTGTTAGCTTACTTCTCTACACAGTATGCCTCATGTACATATAGGTGTTTCTTGTCATTGCCAATAGTTTCAGCTAAGCAAGGTCTGGATATTAAGCTGGGTTTTTATCTTGTTATCTTTCAAAACATGGAAATCCTGTGGACAAGAGTTCTTCAGCTATGTCTGCACCTAACTTATCTATGGTTCTATGATTCTATATTGTCAAGTGATGCTATTAGTTACCAGCTAGGTTTAAACCCTTAAACCCATGGGAACCATTTTTT